TCCCTCCCTCCCTCCCTCCCTCCCTCCCTTTCTAGGCCCGTTGTCTTCAGCCACAACGGGCTGTGCTCCCTAGTACACTAATACTTTGCATTAAATGCTATATACCAAATGTGTTAATGTTTAATAGCAGAAATCGTTAAAGTAAATAATATTTAATGAATATGTTTTGTTACAGGTATTGGCACAAAATGAATATAATTAGGGAAAATAAAGATTTGGCCTGTTTCTACACAACAAAGCATTCCTGGAGGGGAAAGTAAGCAGCATGGTTCATTCTGTTTTCTAGCTTGAGGTTGTTATGCCATTTTATAGTATGTTCCTGATATCCAGCAGAGAGTTTTAAAATTCCACATGAAGCTGCCTTATACTAAATCAGACCACTGGTCCATCAAAGTCAGTATTGTCTACTCAGACTGGCAGTGACTCTCCAGGGTCTCAGGCTGAGGTCTTTCACATCACCTACAACCTGATACCTTTCAACTGGAGATGCTGGGGATTGAACCTGGGACCCTCTGCATGCCAAGCAGATGCTCTACCACTGACTAGGCTGACTAGAGCCAAGGCCAATTGTTCTATTAAAATTGTTTTGAAGTTGAGTACTTTAATCCTCCTAATAACCGGGTTTGATTCCCCACTCCTCCACTTGCACCTGGCTGGATGACCTTGGGCATGCCATAGTTCTGATAAGAGCTGTTCTTGAAAAAAAGAGCAGTTTCTGTCAGAGTTCTCTCAGCCCCACCTACCACACAGGATGTCTGTTGTGGGGAGGGGAAGGGAAAGGAGTTTGTAAGCCGCTCTGAGACACCTTTGGGTAGTGAAGGGCGGGGTATAAATCCAATCTCCTCCTCTTCTTATGATTACTCAAAAATACCAATGCTGAATTGCCTACATAGCCTCCCTCCATGTGTGGCTATCCTTTGAAAGGTCAGTTTCACCTTCTGGAATGGTGGTAGCACTAGCAATCTTTGTTTCAAATACTTTTCAAGTTGTGTGTTTTGTTGTCGTGATGGCCCAAAAAACACAAAGTGGCATGTATGAGCAATATTGAAGCTCTGATTGCTGAGCTTGCTAAATTTTCTTGTGTGGTCCCTCAGAAAATGAACTTCTATCTCCTAGTGTCCCCAATTAATATTGAAAGCAAAATATTACTTGCATATTTGTGTGTAGTCCAGTTATTTGAGACAAGCTGTCTTGTATACAAATCACCATAGAGTCTTTTCTTAGGTCTTGGGGAAGCACTGAAACTAAACCCTTGCCTCCTGTTTGTATATTTTTAGGTATAAGCGAGTTTTTTCAGTTGGAACTCATGCCATCACTACATACAATCCTAACACATTAGAAGTTACAAACCAGGTAATGTCATATATAATAGACGTCTTTTGGGGTAGTATTAAATAGTCTTCCAGTTGAAAATAAATCAGCTTATGAAGTAAATCTAGTTGTCTAAACAGAATGAGCAGAGAACATGAAGTAGTGAAAAAGAATTGATTTGGACAACTTACCATTCAGTTACATAGCCAGATGCCCAGGTGTGTATCAGGATATGCATACTTCCAAGTATTTTTGTTCACATTTATGGGCATAATGAAGAATTTTAAAATCTGCATTAGTTACATAAGCATTGTGTAAGTAGGGAACTGAATCTGGAGTACAAGCGTGGGTTTTCCATTAGTAGGATTAGATAGTGAAGAATAGTTGTAGCATTAAACAACAACTTTACGATGCTTGTATAGTTTCCTTAAACGTTGCAAATTAGTCTTTTTTATTTCTTTGTCTCCCAATATGTTGCTTAACATCTCCACTTGGCACTGATTGTTGCTGAGGAGATAAAAATCTGGAAGACCATGAACGTCATAACAAACATGTAGTCCTTAGATCTCTGATCCGCATGAGTGTCATAAAGTTTTTCATTACTGGCCATAAAACAGATGCCCATCATGAAATAATTAGGTCAACCGGTGTTAAAAGATAAAACATGCATAAAAGATTGTGAAACTTAAATTTAGAATCTGGAAGGCTGGCACTTGGTCTGTAACCATCATAATTTCAGTCTATTAAATATTTGCTGCAGCTTCTGAAACTAGAAGTCTGAAGACTGAGGTATTACTTCCCTTGTGTATATGGTATTGTGACTTTCTACTCAGTGAAAAGCAATTTGAGAGCTATGAAAATCAGAGTAATCAGTAGCCAACTTCGTAGGCTGCTCCCCCTGTGTATTTTCAGGGCCAAACTAGCTATGGGGTGGTATTTCCAAATCTCTAAAATGGCAGTGGGAGGACGTTATTTGGAGGGGCAGAGTTGTGGTTACTAGTTCTTTTTCACTCCTACTCCTTCCTTCCTTCTAGGTGCATTCCACCCAGCCAGGGCTTCTAGTTTGCTGTGGGTGGTGAGAAAGCTGAGAAACCTTTTCCCATAGCCATAGCTATTTTTCAGATATTTTGGGGACATAGGTCTTTGTCAGCATCTAGATTACCTGACCTTTGTTTGTATGGTGGGAAGAGTTCATACACCTATTTACTTGAAAGTTCTGGGTTGTTTTGGAATCTACTTGAAGTTTTCCCATGTTACGGTTTTACTCATGGACATCATTTAGAAAAAGATCCCATAAGCCTTAGGCTTATCCAGGTTATATTAATACTTTTATGTGCTCTAAATAGGGAGGGAACGTATTCACTTCTGAAGATCCCATTAGTGACAAGACAGTCTGCTCAGCAATTTGTGTTGGTTACACGTCTTAGTGTTTTATAGGAATGAAAGAGCATATATTTCTGACTATGTGGTCTTCTGGTTCAGTGGCCTTATGGAGACATCTGCAGCATTAGTCCAGTTGGAAGGGGACAAGGAACAGAATTCAGCCTCACATTTCGTAAGGGGAGTGGGAAGAAGTCCGAAACGCTTAAGTTTTCTACAGAGCACAGAACAGAACTTCTCACTGAAGCACTGGTAAGGACCGACTAAAGACCTGAGTGCGCATTTGTTTTGCAGTCTGCTTTGCCAGCTGCAGTAGAAATATGAAATAGTTACTTTCCTACTCAGTTGCATTAAAATCACATACACAGACACAAGGTGTGTTTTTAAATACTGATAACTTCTCATGCAGCAGTTCACTTGTAACGGGCTTGGGTCTAAACCCCATCCTTGTACTCTTCCTTATGCCTTCATACACTTCAGTTGCTTCCCAGTCCCCTCTCTGTCATTCTTATTATTAATCTTCAGTTTTCCCAAAGTGCTTATGATGGTGAACAAAGGTTTTCTCTCTCTGTTTTGTATTCACAACAATCATGTGGGGTACATTAGGCTGAGAGAGTGGCTGGTCCAAGGTCACCCAATAAACCTCATGGCTACACCCCAGTCTGGCACTCTGATCAGTACAATACACTAACTTCCAGGTCCAAGGAAACCATAGTTGTTTTTTAACATCTGTATTGGGGAAAATATGGTAAGCACTTGACATTGAAGCTAGAATAGAGAACTTATATCTTGCAGTGGGTTCCTAATTCTGGCCATTTCCCACCATATTATTACTGGTTTGGATGTGACAACAAACTACAGTTTGCCAAAGCTGAGAGGTGACTGTGAAGTACTCAGAGGGAAGAAAAATATATGAATCCATTACATCTTTCAAATCACAGTTTGGATGCTTGGGAACTTTTCATCAGAATCTGGCATAATCCTTGCACTCAAAGAAGCATGCCTTTGATTGAATTATCTACTTTAAATCTAGCATATTCTGTTTTTAGACCGTTTACTTATAATCCTTTTCCTTTCCCCAGAGATTCAGAACTGATTTTGCTGAAGGAAAAATCACTGGAAGGGCAAGTATCTTTCAACTGTAAATGAAAAAGTTGTTCTGGTTTTTAATTTAGAAGTTGATACAGAGAAATGAAAAAAGGTACTTCTGTGCTCAAGGTCTTACAAAAGAAACGAAGCTCAACAGAGATGGAAATCTTTTTCCAGGTTAAATTGTGTGTGTGATTCCTTTCTCCATTCTAAGTGACATAATTCTATTAGATATATTCTTTCTTCAACCACCTCCTAAAGATGGAAAGTGAGGAGGCCAGGTGTATCTCCATGGGAAGATGGTTTCATAATCATGGTTTGCCCCTGAAAAGGCCCTCTGTCATGTACCTTGACTTGATGGGGACCCTGTGAGCTTTATTCCCAGGCAGGAACATATAGGAGAAAACAGTCCTTCAGATACCCTGGTCCCAAGTCATGTAGGGCTCTAAAGATCAAAACCAACACCTTGAATTGGGCTCAGGAGTGGATTGGTAGCCACTGGAGTTTCCAGTTACTCTTCAGGGGTGGCCCCAAGTTAGAGCACACTGCAGTAGTTCAGTTTAGGTGTAACTAAGGCATGAATCACTGTAGCTAGATCTGACTGAGCCAGGAATGGATACAGTTGATGCACCAGATGAAGTGGGGCAAAAGTACTCTAAACCACCACAGCCACCTGGTTTTCAAAGGTGACTGCTATGTCAAGTAGCACTCTCATGCTGCAAATGTGGCTTTTCAAAAGGAATATAACACCATCAAAGACAGGAGAGAGCTTAAGTCCCAGGTTTGCCTTTCTGCTAACCCAAAGAACATCTGTCTTATCAGAATTAAGTTTCAGCTTGTTCACCCTCACCCAGCCCATTACTGACTCCAAGTACCAGTTCAGGACATCAGCAACATCCTTGGAATTAAGTCAGAAAAAAAGGGAGAGCCTGGTACCATTCACATATTGGTGACACTGCAGCCTAAACCTCCTGGACCTTTCCCAGTGGCTTCATGTACATATTAAATAGCACGGGAGATAAGACTGAACCCTGCAGAACCCTACAGATCAGCAGCCATGGGGAAGAACAGGAATCTCCCAGCACCGCTCTCTGAGACCACCACTTTAACAAAGCTCCCCCGCTGGCGCCAGGTCCGAGAAGCAGCTCAGTAGGATACAATGGTTGACAGTATTGAAGGCCACTGAGAAATATAGCAGAACTAGCGGGGTCACATTCCCCCTGTCTAGTTCTTGGTAGAGGTAACCAAAGCAGACTCTGTTCCAAACCCTGACCTGAAGCCCGTTTGAAATAGGCCCAGAAAATCAGTCCCTTCCGAGAGCCCCTGAAGCTGAGAAACAACCACCCACTCAAGCACCTTGCCCAAAAGTGAAAGACTGGAGATTGGCCAGAAGTTCTCCAACTTAGTGGGGCATAGGGTTCCCCCCCCCCCAAATCAGGTCTAATCACTGTCTCCCAGAGGTATATTAGACTGCTTTCTCGGGGAACAGAAAGCAGGGGTTTAAAGGGACTCAAAGTCCCTTTAATCCCCCACTTTCTGCTCTATCCATGAACTACCATGAACTGCTTCAAAAGTTCATGGAAGTTTATGACAGTGGACCGGTCACAAACTTCAGTTTGCAAACAACGAACAGGGTGAAATTCGTGATGAATTTTGCTTCGTGGTTCAGTTCATGCCCATCCCTAGAGCTGAAATGTATCACATGCTGTTTTGGCAAAGTATTTTATTCTTTGTTTTTGTACTAAACTGCTCTGATAAGGTGTGGTACTGATTTTTTTTAACTAATAGTTCCTTTTCCCCCCCACAGAGATATAATTGTTATAAGCACCACTGGAGTGATACAAGAAAACCTGTAATTCTAGAAGTGACTCCTGGAGGCTTTGACCAGATTAATCCTACCACAAATAAAGTTCTGTGTTCTTATGACTACAGAAATATTGAAGGATTTGTGGATCTCTCTGATTATCCGGGAGGTTTCTGTATACTTTACGGAGGGTTTAGTAGACTAGTAAGTATAATATTTACCACTTATGTCTGGATCCGGTATCTAATTGTCTAGGATTTTACAGACACTGTCAGTTGGTTTGGCAAAACCAGGAAGTCATCTAGCATCAGTAATAGTTCAATATTGTTATTTTTTAAAGATTGAAATAGAAAATAGTATATGCTTAGTAAAAGATTATTATAAGTACTTTGACTCTGTTCAGTAAGTTATTAGAAAATTATAAAAAGATGGGAAATTTTGAACTAATTCATCCTCACTAATGCTATATTTATTCTGTTCGGTTTTATATAAAGTTTGCAAATACCCATTGTGTTTAAGATTATGGATTTTTACATTTATGTACTTTTTAAAAAAGTTTGTGTATCAGAGAGTTTATTGAAATCTGTCATAATTTGCAGCATTTATTTGCTTCTGAGCAAAGGGAAGAAATTATCAAGAGTGCAATAGAACATGCTGGTAATTATGTTGGCATCTCCTTGAGGATAAGGAAAGAACTATTAGAATTTGAGCAGTATTTGAGTCTTCGCTTTGGAAAATACAGCAATGATGAATCTATTACATCTTTAGCAGAGTTTGTGGTGCAAAAGATAACTCCTAGACATTCGGTAAGATTTAATAATGTAAATGCATTACTCATGTGCCAAAGTTTAGTCAAAGACCCTCTGTTGTCTTTCTCCTTCACCCTTTCTCAGTTTTTAGTAATTGATTTATAAATGATGTGTACTGTTAATATGTACACCGCATGGTATTTCAGGAAGACTGTGCATTCTGCTGTAGTCTGAAAAATTGGTAGAGGAATATTAAATGCATGTATGAAAGGAAATGCACAGTTTGTAGTATACATGAAATTTGTGTTTAAAATACACTGAACATTTCATTGATATGTAAACACAGTACTCAAGGTGAGGCATATGCAAACAAATGGCTACAATCCAATGAGTGAAGAGCAGCCCTTGATGTCCCAGAGCAAACTGAATTTACAAGCAGAGGGTCAGCTGTTCAGGGGAGGGGGAACCCAAGTGTTGAACTTGGGTGCCATATGTCCTTTGCAGGAACCAAAGCAGCTCCTTGGGTCCCAGCCTAGATATTTTCAGTACTGAATGATTAAGTATGGAGCAGAAATGCTGAAATGGGTTAAAATTATTTATAGTGGCCTTGTTATAATAACTTTTGTAACATGTTTATATATATATAATGTTACATATAAATTAAGCTTCTCTTCCTAGTATTGTGCATTAGTTGTGGAGAACTTTTCTGGTTGCGTGCAATCAACATTTTTGTCATTGTCCAAATTGAGAGCTGGATCCAATCTAAATTAGTAAATTCCACTGATTCCCATTTCCTGCTACAGACCTCCCCCCGTGTCATCCCTCAGGGTCCCTTATCCCCCAGGAGCTTATTTTGTGGAGATCATTGGACTGCAATGGGAGGGGGAAGGCCAGGAATCAGCAGTTCCATTCTGCTGGTGTAAAATTTAACGTGGATCCAGCTCTGGAATTCACCATACTCTGGAATTTTGTATCTTTTCCCAATTAACCTAACACTAGTAGGCTAATTACAATAATATTCCAGCTGCATCTAAAATTGACAACTTCATTCCATTGACTTTTAATAGAGGGCAGTTGCCTCAAATAAGTACGTACTGTTATCTCCAATAATTAGAATGTAATGTACTTTCCCCATTTTTAAGGAACCAGTGAAAAGGATACTGGCTCTTACAGAAACTTGCTTAGTGGAACGTGACCCTGCTACATATAACATTGCAACACTGAAATCCTTAGGAGAGGTAAGGGGACAGCTTTGTTATGGGTCAGAAAATATTAGAAGTAACAATCTGGGTATAGTGCCTAATGTGGCTCTTGTTGAAGCCTCAGATTATGGTGTTAAAGCTTAAGGCATATTTTTGAGATTCATGACAAGTCTTTGTATGCGCCAGAAAATGGGCTGGGCAAAAAAATAAAATAAATCAAAAGTATGTTGCAGGTTACATTTAGACCTGTAATTTCTGAAGTTTGATTATCAAACGGTACAGAATAATAAAGCTGTAGCGTGGCCACCTGTTTGACATAAGGGTTTTATTTTTTAGGTATTTGCACTAGTGTGTGATTCAGAAAATCCACAGCTCTTTACGATAGAGTTCATCAAGGGACAAATCCGAAAATATTCTTCAACAGAGAGGTATAGTTAAAAGTTCTTGAACTGTTTCTTTATTTGGGATGTTGGCAGAAGAGTGATCGCCTCAGGCAACCCATATGGTATGGCAGAATCAGTAGTGGCTGCCTTCATAGCATGGGTGAATGGCTGCTCTATACAAAACTTAAGAGAGGGGTTGTGACAGTGGAAGAGTTTCTGCTTTGCATGCAGAAGGTCCCAAGTTCAATCCCCACCCAGCTCCATTTAGAAAGGACCAGGCAGTACATGATGTGAAAGGCCTTTGAGACCCTGGAAAGCCACTGCCAGTCTAAGTAGACAACACTGACCTTGATGACCTGATTCAGTATGAGGCTGCTACACGTGTGTTCCCTAGAGCCAGTTTGGTGTAGTGGTTAAGTGTGCGGACTCTAATCTGGGAGAACCGGGTTTGATTCCCCACTCCTCCACTTGCACCTGCTGATATGACTTTGGGTCAGTCACAAGCTCTGGCACAGCTGTCCTTGAAAAAGAGCAGTTTCTGTCAAGAGCTCTCTCAGCCCCACCCACCTCACAGGGTGTCTGTTGTGGGGAGGGGAAGGGAGATGAGTTTGTAAGCCGCTCTGAGACTCCAAGTGAAGGGCGGGGTATAAATCCAATCTCTTCTTCTTCTTCTAGAAGCAGGGGTCATTTGGGGGGGGGACGCGGGGGGACGCCATCCCCCCGGGTGAGGTGTGGGAGGGCGGGGCCTGGAGCTCCCTGCTGGTGCCCGCTGGAGGTCGCCGCCGGCTGTGGGGAGGACACACTTCCGGTGATGCTAATGAGTCCCCCTAGCTCTTTTTCTACGAAATGACCCCTGCCTAGAAGAGTATTTACATGTTCTTGAATGCTTGTGAGGATAGTAGGCTTTAAATTTATTTAGCTTTAAAACGATAGTTGTTTAGCATCAAATCAAAATATTCAGGTAACAAAAGTAATTGGAACTTTTTTTCTCCTCCTCACGACCCACAGGGATTCATTGTTAGCCAGTTTACTGGATGGAGTAAGAGCATCTGGTAATAGGGATGTCTGTGTGAAAATGACACCCACGGACAAGGGCCAGCGGTGGGGTCTGCTAAGTATGCCAGTGGATGAGGAAGTTGAAAGTCTTCATCTAAGATTCTTGGCAGCACCTCCAAGTAAGTCGTCTAGTTAGGTTGCATAATATGTTGCAATTTAAAAGTCCTTTTAGAAACGAAGCAGTCTTTTTTTTTTTTTAATTTAAAAATTTTATTTCCTCTCCTAAAAAGGAGAGACTTTTCGCTTAATGGAAAAAGGGAGGGTATATAGAGGGGTCAAGAAAAGCTGAGTGATGTTATAACTGGTATATTAATCTGTTAGTAATATTAAAAAAAATCTTCTTTGGTTTCTTCAGTGTGTTGTCGAACTTCTTTCTTCAATCCAGTTGTACATATATCTGTTAGTATATTAGTAATGTCCCAATGGTGCTTTGTTAATAAAATCTTTTCAAATACGCTTAAATCAATCTTCCACGGGCTGATTTCTTTTAAAATCCACAGTCAGGAAAGGAACTTCCTCCGCTTGTTGTTCACCGGTTTCTCAACTCCCTCTCTGGGTCGCTATTTCCACTTCCGCTTGCAAGCTACAAATGACGCAGTCCTTATTCTTTCGTGCCTCTTCGAAAGGTCTCTAGCTTTGAGAATGTATTTAACCTTTTTCTATCTTTCGATTTTTAAACGCTCCATTCTCTAGCTGGACCTATTCTCCGCAACTATGACTTATAAAAGCGCTATTGAGAGCACTTTATCGCTTGTCATAGATCCTTCATTTCTTACACTTCCCAGATAAGGACACAGTCATTCACAATCTGGTTGTTATACAGCCGGCATAACAAAACATAAAACGCTTGACCGGAAGCTCCTCCTTTCTTGTTCGCTAATTTTACAATCCAGCTCCGCCATCTTGT